TCTTCTTAAATAAAATTTTAAGAAGACAATGTGCCTTACATAATTTTTTCTTATCTACATGTTTACCAAAAATAACAATAATACACAATGCTGGACTCTCTTGGGTGACATTTATGTGGTTAAGAGTTTAAAAAGGTGTTGGGGTTACTATTTTAAAAATAACTATTAATTGTTAGTTTTAACCAAATAAATTAAATACTTTAAATTATAAATAACAATAATTAACAACTACTACATATTATTTATCAATTATCAACTTGATTAATTAAATCACTGATTTAAACACTTTCAAAATCTTTATATTAAAAAATTCAAATTCAAATATTAAAATAAGTAAGGAGATATTTGAAAAGGAAAGGTTATTCCCTAATATTGTCCGTTATTTGAAATGCTAAAAAAATACAAATTGCTGGATAATTTAACAGCTTACAAATTTTTTTTTCTTTGGTCTGCCCGCCTTAACAGCTTACAATTTACTATTAATGAGATCTCAAGTCAGGTAATAAATAGTCTAAAGGTTGAGGTCATGTAGGTTTTTTCAAGAATCTTTTACTTCAATTTTAGACAATATGGAGTGGATTTTTGTCCGATATTTGAATGAACTTTCTGTTTTGCAACATGAATTGTATCATATTTTGGGTCATGAACAGGGGACAATCCCCAATATTAAAAGATCTATTTCATTTAATGATAAGCAACGTACATTTTGATATAGTTAAAATTACATAATACTTTTTTTATTTGTGTCAATGATTTAAATAGTTTAGTAGTTATTTTTTTTCGTTGAAAGGAAGAAATTCTGAGTTTGAGTTGCATAGCATGCAGGTGAGATGGGATAAGGGATGAGAAATAATTGCTTTTTATTATGCAACTAAGATAAACAAAAAAACTTTTTTTTATTTGTATATAGCCTATATGGTGGTATATAAGTTTCTTTTTTTGATAAATAATATTGTTTAAATATGTGTGGTGATAAATAAATAAATAAGTATATATATGTATGTATAAAGTAAGACTTCATTTACATATAAGTTTTAGATACCACATTTACGAAAATCTTTATTATTCATTTCTCTATTTTCAATGGTTAGGATTTATTTATTTTTTATTATATTTATTAATAATAATTATCTTTTTTTTAATTAAAAAAATTATAATAAATCTCAGCTATTGAAGGTAAAGAAATAAAAGATTAAGATTTTGTGTATGTGCAATGTATAAGACTTGTGTGTAAATGGATTTTTACTCTTTTATATATATATATATATATAACTTACACAAAATCTCAATCATTCATCTCTCTATTTTCAATAGTTGAGATTTATTCATATTTGTTAAAAATAATTATTTTTTATCTAAAAAGTAGTGATAAATCTCAATAATTGAAGATAAATAATTAAGATTTTATGTAAATATAATGTATCAAATTTATGTATAAATAAACCCCTCCTCTATATATTAAATAAGGGTGATTATTGTCGCACTCTATATTGCTAATAACATACCCTTTTAATGTAATTGTTTATTATACCTTATATTACATCTTTTTCTCAAAATTTTATTTTTTTTTATTTCTCAATAAATTAAAACATATAATGACTAATTAAAATAAAAATGTGTGATATTAATAATTAAAGGTGTGACAATAAAATTACTAATTAAATGGACACTTTTAAAAAAGAGCTCGCTTAACCTGTATTTTAAAAACTTTATTAATTACAATATTTGTAATGAATTTTACACAATTTTCCATATCAAATCCATACCATTATATAGATTTTGAATGCAAATATTATATTATATTCTTACATTTTTTAATTAAACCTAAAATAAAAATTTATATAAAATTAATTACAAAAACCACAATTCATAATTCCTAACTTGTGTCTAATGGCACAGCTTTGAAAATTCCTTTTAAGAAAAATGGGAGAAAAGATATAAATAAGGATATTAATTTTGTATCTTTTTTTATTTAAAGATGTTAATTTTATCTATTTTTAAATAACGATATCAATTTTTAACTTATTATATTTAAAAATATCAACTTTTAATTTTTTCTATTTAAAAATATTAACTTTCAATATTTTAGTTAAAAAAATTCATTTGTCACATTAGTATCATTATACAATTAATCGTTAAACAAAAAAAACTAAAAATTAATATCTTTAAATAAAAAAATTTAAAAATTGATATTTTTAAATAAAAAATAAAAAATTAATATTTTTATTTAAAAATTAATAAAATTAATATTTTTAAATAAAAAATAAAATTAATTTCACATCTTTATTTACACATTTTCTCGAAAAATGAAAACAGAGTAGTTGAGCTCCTTATTAATGAGTGTTGAGTAGTTCCAAAGTCTCAGTATGATTGAGTGAATCATTTAGCCACTCAAGATGAATCGTGGCAATGACTTATTAGCCAGTAGTAATAAATATTATTATCCTCAAATTAATAAAGTAAAAGATGTATTAAATAAAATAATTAAGGTTAGTAATTCATATTTATCCGCCTTAGCTTCCACGATCCAATCTTGGAGTTCGGTGGCCTTAAACTATTGGGTTTGTTACAGATTGTTGGAAGGGCTTTATCCGTAATTAATTTTCATGGATGTCAGTCATAATTTAGGTTTCGATTGTTAGAGTTTTGTACAGATTTTTTTTACTTCATAATTTATTTAAAAATATAAAATTTTAATTTTAAATTAAATTTAAATTTAAATAATTTTATATATTTTTAATTAATATTTTATATTACAATATGGTATTTTTAAAACAATAAAAAATCAAAAAAAAAATCTATCACTATAGTACAACGGGATTGAAGCCTGGCTAAACACTTTTTTTTTTATTTGCTTTTTTTATTATCACATATTTAGGAAAATTGAAAAAAAAAAATTTTGCTTTTTTTATTATCACATATTTAGGAAAATTGAAATAAAAAAAAAATACAGTGTATAGTAACAGCATATTCAAAGAAACTCCATGGATTCCCCCTTTTATGTTCACGTTCCTGGGTAATGACACCGCAAAAGTCTAACCAACTTTTCCCTTGCACGCTTCTTTTATACATGTACTCTCTTCTTGTTTTTTTTTCTTTTTTTTGAACCTTTTTTTGCAAGGGACGGGTACGGAAACCGCCCAACAAGAAGAAAAGGGAACGCACCAGTTGACTGGTTAATGTGAATGGCCTCTATGGTTAGGTGCATAAATGTACTCTCTTCGTCTATATTTTTTTTTTATTTTATTATCTTTAAATTAAAAATTTAGGATAAATTTTATTTTTTAAAAAATAAATAAAAATAAACTATTGTTTTGATAAATTACTTAATAATTAAAATTAAG